CTATCTATCTATCTATCTATCTATCTATCTATCTATCTATCTATCTATCTATCATCTATCTATCATCTATCTATCTATCTATCTATCTATCTATCTATCTATCTATCTATCTATCTATCTATCTATCTATCTATCTATCTATCTATCTATCTATCTATCTATCTATCTATCTATCTATCTATCCATCCATCCATCCATCCATCCATCCATCCATCCATATGTGTGTGTGTGTGTGTGTGTGTGTGTGTGTGTGTGTGTGTGTGTGTGTATATATATATATATATATATATATATATATATATATATATATATATATTTCTTTTTTTTATTCTAGTAGACATGTTAACTGCAGTTTTATCCTGTGTTGCTAAACCACAAGTAACAGAGTCACAAATTAGACTTGTAATAGAGAACAGAAACATTTTTGGCTGCTTTAGCATTAAGAAACAAAAGCAGGTGCACAGAAACAAGGGTTGGCCAAAAAATTGACTTTATGTAATTTCATTAGATGTAAAAACAATTGCTTAAAACATTGTTCATGACTCTCAACAACGTTCTAACTTAGCATAGCTATAAATCTATTATGGAGATTAGAAATAAATGTCTCGTATTTGTCTAATAACCTCCACCAATAACAGGACGAGTCTGGATACTCAGAGTCAGAGATCACCATGAGCGACGGGACTAGCCAGCTCAAAAATAACCAATCAGAAAAAAGGCAGAAAGGACAACCATATCACACGTTGTTGTAGTTTTTGAGCTGTAGTCAAAAATGTCATCTGGCAACGGCGCATACATCTTTCTCTAGAAGAAAGTCTTTCAGCACTTCTACTTGTTGTGGTTTTAAAACACGTCCAAGCCATTTAGAACAGAGGAAAGAGTTGCAGCGAACTCTGATTCAAACGCCATCTTTGTTGTTTGTGAGAAACCGAGCATCGCGGTACGTGACATATGCTGCTCAGCTCTGATTGGCTTGGTTAGGGGGTGGGGTGGGGTTATTTCAATGGGAGCGTTACCAGGCCCTTTGCTTCCCATAAGGAAGCATTGCCATGGCTGACGAGGCTGTAGATTTGCTATAGCAGCTTTAAATATTATAATTAATAACAGTTGTACAGTTTCCTTCTTGTTTCTTCTGCCGACCAAATGAACTGGGGATTTGCTACCACCTAGCAAATTATTTTAAAGTCCTCAAAATTGAATTAAATGAAGTAGGTTTTATTAAACATTCTTACTTTATGTTTAGACTTAGTTGGTTAGTTAGTTAGTTTAACCATTTAGATAAATAACAGTTGTGATTTTATAGTATTTTTGTGTTAAATTTTACATAAAACATGTAACTAGTATTTACTAGGGCCAAGAATAATTTTTTGAGTGTGAACTACAAACCTTTAACCCTGTCAGGCTCAAAATAGGTTTTGATAAAAGGACGACCAACTAAGTCCTTCAGGGGTACTTCTGAGTTAAAAAATCCTCATGAAATACGTATGTGGAGTAACCAGGTAGGTAGGTTTTAACTGTTGCAATTCTGCAACGCCTGCCTCCAGAGGGTTAATAAACCATAATATCCTGTCTGAAACAGCAGAAATCCTAATCATTGCAACTGTTTCAGCCCCTGCTACAACGTAGAAACCATCTCCACAAAGGGCACATCCTCCTGTGCTGTGGTCACAATCAATGGATGTGAGTCCTATAGCACACAGCTGCAGTCTCTGTCAGCATCTTACAATCACATCAGTGGACAGTGCGCCCCGAGAGCCTCAGACAGACGAGATTAATGAATAAGTGTGAGGTGCTGAGACCTCCAGGGACAAGCAGGTTGAGGACATGGATGTCTTAAAAAATGGATTTGATTTTGCTCCACTAACCAGTTATATTAAAAAATAAAATAAGAAAAAAGCAAACTATCATCAGATTGAAAAAGTAAATAAAAATTTGAAGAAATTAAAACTCCAAAGGGCTGAAGTGCTGCATAATGATTTAATACAAAGCGTGCCATGGGGGGGGGACTAATTTGTACTCAGGTGAGAACATGAACCTTTTTTGATTTTCATCAAGCAAAGCGTGGATCAAAATCCCCTTGGATGGCAAGCGGGAGGCCGGAGGATTATAAAAAGTTCAGGCTTTGGAAACTTACCTATCAAATCCTCCAACTGAGCATGTTTTCTTATTTTTTTGTGACATCTTTGCCAAGTTTTCACAGCAAAACAAAAACATAGAGCTGCTAACATAACATAAAAGCTAAGACATTTATCCAAATAAACAAGGGAAGACTGAAACTTTTCTCTTTTCTGTATCTGAGCAGTGGAAGCTTCTCATCATCCTGTAACAGTCAAACACCTCTGTGAGTTGGGAACCCATTCCATTTGATTTTATGGATCAATGAATTTCTGGCATATTAAATGGAATAGCTGTCTATGTAATGAAGTGCTTTTAAACACAGGTGTCCCCCTGGGCCGTGTCGTTTCCTCTTTTTTTATTGTCTATTTATACAAATGAGATTATGTGCAACAATAATGGCCTCGTTTTGATTAAGCGTTCTGACAACACCACCCAGGAGGCCAGTTTGATTCTCAGTCAGTCACAGCAGAAAGATATTATAACAAAAGTGACAGTTTGATTTGAGTACCACGACGTCAAAAGAAATAACGGATTTAAAAAAATAATAAATAAGGACAGCTTCGACATTCGATCCCACCTAAAGGAACGTTTTCCTGGGAGAATGGAGATAATCAGACCCTTATTGTTAAGTGATAGGAACGTTGTTTACATTGACATACAGAGCAGAAGCTCCAGTGATGTGTAGTCGATAAAGATGCTCATTATCGTTCTTGGTTTGAACACATTGGCCTGGTTTGATCAACTGTCAGCGAGCAGCTTGCAAAAATTGGTCAATCAGGAGCCTAAAATCATTTGGATGCCAATACCAGCCACATCGTCAGCTTGTGTGCATGCTGACGTCTGCCTTTGAGAAGAGGGGCTCTGCATCACCAAAGTCTAGCATGTGCTGCAATGGCTGTTTACCAACATGGCCACAACACAGCTTGGGCTCATGCATCAGGAAAAAAAGATGAATATCGATTCATTTTTAGTTTTCACATTTCTACATTTAAGGTGGAATCTGTAGAAATCATGATTTTAAATCACTCACATCCCCTCATACACATTCAGATTTAAGTAGCAAGAAACATGCACTGCCAATCAATACGACATGCACTTAAGAAGCATGAAGTTAAAAGGGAATTTGTGGGGTGTCTTCTTTATTCCCATCGTCAAGTCCAATCAATGTTATCTCTCCTAAAGTCAGAGACCAGGGGCTGTGGCTGCAGGCTTTGATGTCTAAGACAATCCCAGAAATCAAATGATAGTTGGAAGACTGTTTCGTGGACAGATTTTGGGTTTTTGAAGATGAAATTCTTTATCAAATCTGAACTCCGAAGATCCCCCGCTGGCACTTTCCACCATCACCTTCGACATCTTTCTCATTTTTCTTCTGGTGGGATTTGACATATTGGCCAAATCACAGGCAATGTCTTGAAGTGAAAATGTGATAGAACTACCCTAGACCACAGGACTGAAGTAATTTCCCTTCAAATGTCCCTTTAAGATTGAATTTATTATCAGTCATTTACATCTAATATAGCCTGAGCTCTAACATCTAGTCATAAAACCCCATAAATTTAGGCTCTGCGGCTTTACTTGGACTTTTGGGACCACAGACTGGAGTCTGGACTATATAAATCTCAAATGTTGACTGGCTGCAGAGACAAGCCCATCACAGAGGATCCAGTGAATGGTGTTCTGCTGCACAAAAGGCTATCAGTGGCAAAGACATCTTAAACCAACCACATATTTTATAATGCATCTCACATGTGAGACTTTATGAAGTGCGTATCTTAACCAGCGCGCCATATCCGAAAGGGATGCCTCTAACATTTTTATGTGCATCATAAAACAGAAGAGGCAGAAAAGCAATTAAACACTTTATAAAACAGAAAAAATAAAGCAGTCGGATTGATCTGGATATATATTCATTTCTGCAGCTTTGCTGGGTCAGAGAGCGGATTCTGCTACACATTTGTTTCTCCACAAAGTGGTCCAAGTCACCTGAAGTAAAATAAATAAATAAATAAATAAAATGGAGAGAAGCTCTTTTCTTTTGTCCGAGGCTGTTTGGAAGATCTTTGTGCCTGATAATTTCTGAGGCTTGAAAACATGTTTGCATGCTGTATATTCAGATAAAAATCTCTCTTGCTGTATCCTTGTGAAGGTGTGTGGAGTGGGTGAGGTGGGAGATGTGTGTGTGCAGTGAAGGGTGGGGAGGTAATGTGGATGCATAAATCAGTGTTTTAGTGCAAATGTGAGCTCGACTTAAATGCATAAATCATGGGTTTATTCTAACATCAGTCACGAGGCAACACCACATTTACTTTGGAAACTTGAAGTTAAATGTCAGTAACACAAGTATGTGCTGAAAGGTCACATGGCGTTTCATTAGAGTCCGGGTTGGGCATAACTTTTTAATTGTTGCCACCTTCCTGGGGGACATACTTGAATTTCTTTTTGTTTCATAAATAATGAATGTGTTGTGATTGCTGCACCCACCCACGGCTTATTGCGTGTCAAATAAGTGCAAGGTCAACTACCAATATTAATTTGATGAGATTAGCAGTTTGGAGGAATACAAGAGTGCACATTCACCTGCAGGCAAGCGCGCAAACAGGCGTGCAGGACTGCTCCACTGGAACATAAAAGAGTAGAATTGTGTAAAAACTGCTCATTTTTAGTAAGATTAAAGACAACTTGGGTTTAGATGTTTGGGTGGATTTATTTTCCTCATGCGTGCGTAAAAAGCCGTGCGTAAATATTTGGTACTGTGTTTATAAATACTTTAATTGCAATCTAATAACGTACACAGTGATAAAATGATTGTGTGGAGCTTTTCAGTCCCGTGTATACCCTAAGGATCCATTACTGTGTTTTTGTGCAAACATTGAACTCACGCTGCTGTTGTGCCCGGACCAGTGCACCATCGCCTGATTGTGAGCCGAGTCTCCCGACAGCGCAAAGGTAGAAGTGTCCAGGTGTGGCTCACTTTGCCTTGGGTTTGACCCTCTGGCTTCCTCCCCAGGGCGTCGGTACTCTGGTCTGGACTTGGAAACACCTTGAGCAGTGTCCACGAACCTCTCCGGCGACTGCGCCTCTCCACTTGTACTCCTATCCCCGTTTTCCTTGTATGACGCTCCCACGCTCCTTTTAACCTTTTTTCCCCTGACAGAAAGACGTTTTGACATTAAACCCGTTCCATCTCGCTCTTCTTCGGTGTTTTCATACTTTTTATGAGGGATTTTAACATCGTTGGAGTTTGCTCTGATTCCCGCTGGAGTCTCATTTCTGCTCAGTGTTTTATCCTCCTGCTGTCCACTGCTCGGTTTTGAAGTGACGGTTTCTTCCATTTCCAACCTGTTTAAAACTTCATTATCGTTGACATTAAGCGCCACTGTGATCCCCGATGATTTTCCAGCCACGTTCGCCCCCAGCGGCGCTGCATCCAGGCGATAAAATCTGTTGATTGATCTGGAAAAAGTTATCTCCGATTGAACTCCAAACTCGGGGTGAAAGGGGTAAAGCAGCACGCAAGACAAAAGAAAAAAGCTCCAAAATGACCAAAGTGCCATGGCGCGCTCCCCAACCGGACAGTTTGCGACTGGAAGAAAATATTTAGCGCGGCAGAACTGTTTTTAAATTCAGCAACATTCAGCGGGTCATCTTTGTCAGATACAAAGTCCTTCAGCAGTCCAGCTCACGACCAAGAATTTGTCAAAGTGAGGGAACAGTTGGGGAGGCGCTGCGCATCAGGCGAGCGAGTCAACGAAGAGTAACTGCGGGAACGGTTAGACTGGAGCTCACGAGGAGGGCTGAAAGAGGGGGAGGCTTCAAAGCCGTGAAATATATTTTATTAATTATTCCACGATCTTAGATTTTATTCTGTACAACATCTGCCTGCCTCGCGTAATCCTCCGAAAGTTATCCAGAGGTGCGCTTCACGGACTCGGAGCCGCACACAATAACAAATTGTGCTTTGCATAACAGCGTTCGCTCTGTGGAACACGACAGGGGGAACGCATCTTAGCTGGCATCAATCACCAGAGCTTTCACCTGTCAGCTGCGCACGGGCGAGCGTGCGCGCTCGGCGAGTGCATTCACAGAAATTCACTTGAACTCCTAATAACGAGATTTACTCGTTTTCTGAGTTGTAGTGCTTAAGATTAATGCAACCTAATCAGATTAATTTATTTCAGGCCGCTAACACAAGGAACCCCAGGCCTGCTGCACACAAAAGCAACTATGAATGCATTTTGTAATGTGCAGCGTATGAAAATATCATCAGTGGGACACAGCAGCTCACTTTTAATCTAGACATTCTCAGAATCTATATCATTCTTGCATTTTTCCAGCATGCATTTGAAAAATCAACCATCTTCCAAATCAATATGTTATTTGAAAGGCATTAGTTTCAATTAGTGGTGCCAAATGAATCCTGCAAGGCAATTCCTGCTTCCTGCTGACAGAGCTCTCTTCCTCTCCGTTGTTGCAGAAATTGTAAGCCAGCATCTAAAAAAAAGAAACAAAAAATATTTTATTTTAAGTTATTATGATGCTTGTTAATGAGGAACGAAAATACACACTAGAGAGGTTTGCATCAGCTGCCAGACACCTCCTCCAGGGAAAACCACGAGAGAGAAATGTCCACTCTCCTCAAGGACGACATCACAAAAGGAAAACAAAGAATTTAACCTTGTGTGTTACTATTTGTATTGTTACCCTGTAAAAATAAAGTGTCACACTAAAATCAATTTAGAACGTTTTTAGTGATTTCCTCAAAATGTTAATGCTAAATCAGGCTGACTGTTACTTAAAATACAACTTCTGCAAATCTATTCATTCTGTCTGCTGTTTATTGAGCAGAAAACGCAGATGGAAAATTTAAATATTCAGGCTCTTTCAAGAATCCATAAAGCGCAGAAAGATTAATCAAAAATCCGCTGTGAAACAAATTTAGTGGACTGGATGAGGAAATAAAAAATCAGAAAACAGCCATTTCTGTGTTCAGTGCACCTCCAGATCTCGCAAACATTCACAGACATTGCAGTGAAAACAGCAATCAGAGGGCCAGGTAGCAGCTCCATGCTCCTCAAAGGACTCACTTTTTGGTCACAGCTTTTATTTATTTATTTATTTATGTATTTATTTATTTATTTATTTTGAGTTTGGCACGGCTGTACAAACAAATTGAGATTCATACAAGTGAGGGCTCTGGGTAGCAGGTGCTACTGTTGCAACTCTGCTGCATGCCAGACAGCTAACTGTCATTCCCGCCAGAACGCCTTTGCAATGAGGGGGTAATTGGACTGATCACACTCTGTTTACCCATTATGGTGCTAAAATGAAGTGGGTTGCTCCCAAACGTGGTGTGACAGTCCGGGGATGAAGGAGGAATCTCTTCCATCAATGACGCATCTTTCGTTCTGTACTAACCTTGGACTGGAAGCACAACGCTTCTTTGTTGTGTACTTTTTAGAGCATGTATGTGAGAAACCCCCAGGGAAAGAAGCGTAGGAACAGTTGCATTTGTGATTATCTGAGGGAATATCTGGGGATGGAGCTTTAATGCGTCTGCGTCCCATATTTTCTGTGCTTGAACTAAGACAAGGAATACTGCATGTCTATCTGGGCAGAGAACATACTAGAATCTACATAAAACCGAGCCACTGTGAATGATTTTTTTTAAAATCAGGAAATGAGAGGACAAATCTGTACGTTTGTGTAGCTCATTCATTTTTATGTGCTCTCCCTCCCAGACCATTAGCAAGACCATCAGATGTATTCATCCCATTTCTGTTGGTGCACAGCTCGGACAGTCTCTGCGAACGGCAACATCCTCGCTCTTGTTTCCACTGAGAAAAGGAAGAAAACTTTAAAGCTTTCAGGACAAAATCCCATTTGTGCATTCGCTGTCTGCATCCCAGGCTTGTTAGTTCCAACACTTCAGTGATCCCGATGGAGCGGACGCACATGCAGTTGCAGGAACCATAATGGCCATCAACCAGACAGCTCTCACTTGCACGCAGGAGATGAACAGCAAGGTGCACTCCCAACTCGACCATACCCCAAGCCATAAAAAAATAAAAATATAAAAAGATTTTCTTTTATTGCAGATGGCAAAACACTTATTATGTACTTCCTTCATCATTCAGATGAAAGAAAAGCATTTTCAAATCACAGTGGGAGGAGTAGTTTAGGACAGATTGCCACCACAATAAACTAGCCCCGTCATAGACAAATAATATGCCTCGTTTATTAGCCACAAGCTTATTGATGCCTTTATTCATGATGAACACAGGAACAAGTGTGCCAGCATAAAAACACAATTTAGCTAACCTCCCAAAGTTATTGTTTACTCCCAGTTGCACTGTGAGCAATAGTATCTTAAACGAACCGGACCAGTTTGGGTTTCTGCTCCTTCATCCATATTCACCATCCGCAGGGAATTTCTTGTTCGTCACAGCTTGGAATCTTAAAGTAAGGGCATTGAGACTTTCTGTTTTCGATCAGGTAGTGAAACTTGAAAAATATGGGTCAAAAATTATTTCTTAGACTGAGAAACCATCAAGGCTCATGAACCCTTTGCAGGTGTTTGAGATTCATTAGCTGATTAGTGTGTGACACGTTGAGTCTAGAATACTGAATCATTTCACAATATTCTAATTGTCTGAGATTTTGAATGTGGGGTTTTCATAAGCTGTAAGACATAATCATCACAATTATAACAGAGGCTTAAAATATCTGACTTTGCATGGAACAAGTCGTTCACATATTTGTTTCAGCTTCGAAGCCGAATTACTGAAATAAAGGAATTTTTGCACCAATTCTAACATTTCAAGTTTCACCTGTAAACAGACAATAGAGTTAAATGCACAAACCGATTAACAAGAAAGCTTTAAAGGAGTGGTTGATTTGTTTATTCAATACATTTGCCGTGGTCTCTGAAGCTGAATGACTCTAAGTCTGAGGCGTTCCTCATGGCCCCTAACAACACCTCACACTCACTCTTTGCTTCAGGTCATGCGGGAGAGCGTCCAAATCAGTGTGTTACCAACCTGGGGGTGAAACTGGATACCCACTTTCCCATGGCCCATAGATTAATGCAGTGATCATATCCAGATTTTTTCTAGCTGCGCCGGCTTATTTTAATTATTATTTTACAACAGTTAGTTCCAACCGAGTGATTTGACTGGTCAAGAGACTTTCCAAGAGTGCTGATATTATACTATAACCGCACTGGGACTACTTACAAACAGTATCAGTCCGCTGTGCACAGCCGTTCTAACCGTTATTGAGGTTGGTTTATGCTTGATGCGTCCGCAATGTCCGCACGGCTCCGCGCGGAAAAGTTGCGTCATTTTGCGTCATTTTAACAACCACGCCCCTCCACCGCGTCTCCGCGCGGCCCAAAATTTCTGCAATGCGCACCTAGGAAAATTTCTAACCACGTGGACGGTTGGAAGCGGAAAGACATGGTGGACTGGCAAGAACTAGTAAGGCAGAGGTTCGTAATACAGACATTTGTATGATTCAGCTCTCAGAGATCACCGTGATCAACATGTTGTTAATAACTCTTGGAGAGAAATAGCTCGCACTGTCGGAAAAGACGAGGACACTGTTAAAAATGCTGGAATGCCATGTTGTAAACAGTAATTTCTACTTCTCCCATGGTGTAGTGTTGGATGCATGCCGTAAAGCTCCATGCTGCCCCCTACAGTTTGGGAGAATATTGGCTCACCGCAGAGACGAGCCGCACAAACCATAAACGCTGCGAGTTGTGAAGCACGTTCCATCCACGAGCCGCATCACCAAGCGGAAAGTGAATGTTTCAAGCATAAACCAAGCTTTAGAGTGTTTTGTAGAAAATGTTAGTGTTGCCTAGCAACAGCCTTGTCTGAGTCTCCATTTCGTGTTGGGACTGTTTGTGTTGGCGGAGCCTGATAAATGATGAAATAAATGAACAAATTATAATCTGTTGTTGCTTATTGTTGTTATAAAATTAAATGAGCAGGTAGAACTGTTGTGTAAATGCAATATCACACTCAAGGTCATGCGTTGTTTCCGAATATCAGCACTTGTGTGATTATCTACTGCACGAGGCCGCAGGCCGAGTGCCTACGATCGAATCACACCAGTGCTGATATTCAGCAACAACGCACTCCCTCTCGTGCGATATTGCTTAATTATTATGTGTTCTTATTGTTGACCGTGATTATCTGATTTGTAGTGTATTTTTATTGTTGATTGTGTTTTTGTTAGATTTTATGTTCAACTTTTTATCTGTACAGCACTTTCATCAGCTGCCATGCTATTTTTAAATGTGTTTTATAAATACATTTGGAATGGTATGGCAGTGGAAATGAATGCCTTGTATGTCGTTCTCAGGGGAGATAAATATTCTTGGACCTAAAAGTTTTCAACACCACATCTGAGCTTCAGACAGAAGGTTTTGGAGTCTTATTTCCTGATATTTGGATGCCTCGCCTCGGATTGGATAACCGCAATACGACTTTACCATTAATTTGCAACGTGAATGTTTTATCTCCACAAATAACACAGGCCTGAAGGAACTTCTGCCATGTGATGAAGCTGCGAATGCTAACGGTTAGCTTAAAGTAGCCGAGACATTGTCTGACAATTCCCGGACATTAAACACAACAGCAAAAGATGGGTGAGCTGAGTGGATGCAAATCCTAGTTTAGCCCCATATTTTCTATCATAATCTAATGCAGGAGATTGGTGTAGGAGGTTATTTTCATGTTCAGATTACATTAAAAACTTAGTGGCTGATTATAGAAAATAAATGAACAAATAAATAAAAAAATCTTTTCCAGTCAACTACACCTTTAAGTCAGAAGTAGCATTTTGAGAAAAAATATATTTAGGTCAAACGAGAAAGTGTTG